AATCTGGATATGGACGTAAGCTTACAGCAAATTTATTCGAACCAATGGAAGTTGTCTCACGAACTGCGTCAGACTTGGGCACTAGTCGTCTTCTTCTGGAGCCAATCTCCTCCTCAAACAACATAACAGCACTTCAACCTACCCGACAAGGGACAATGTGACTGCCTTCCAATGATGTACGTTGATATTTCTATTTGGCCTAATTTTTGGAATGGGGCAAAAGGTGAGAGGGTGAAATTAGGATGAAAGGAATAACTGTTTGGAGAATATCTTTTTCAACTAGCGTTGGTGTGAACAGTCTTCAAGTAGCTGTCCCCCTCTGAGCTCCGCATCCCCCTTACTCACCATCCCTTTACGGCTCGTACCAATATACACTAATCAAATAGGCCTAAAGGGCTTGCCGCCAAGAGAATCACTGGGCGTGGTCCCGGAGAACAGGGCGTGGACCGCCTCGGCAGGCTTTCATGACCTCCACCTGTCTTCGCCGCCCGCTGAGCTGGCATGCAGCTCGGACAACCGCCGTCTCTCTTGACCCCTTCCTTTGCCTTACAGAGTGTGGCCGGATCATAACCGACGCCATGCGATCTGGACTGCCCTAACGTCGGAAGAACGTAAACTATGAGATCACCAAAAGCCCGTCAATGATGCCGGAAAGTGTGATAAAGTGACCTAGGCATTTTCGCAGATTGGAAACACTACAGTTAGCCGTAATCCAGCCCATATTTGTATAGATTCTTGTATGCATGTATTTATGCATGCATGTGTGTCTGTCTGTATGTATATATATATATATGCATATATCCCATATGGGATATATATATATATATATGCATATGTTCGTATATATTTTTGTGTATTGGTGGTATGGCCGTTTGGGCTTGTCTGCATAAGCGGAAGTTGAAGGATGACTAGCCGAGAGTGTGTTAGCGATGGATGATGTAAGCATGACCATGTATGCCTGCAAGTTTGTTTGTGTGTTTAGCTCGTGACTGGAATGGGCCTGAAGAAGGAAGGGCCACTGGGGTATGGAAATAGTTGGAAAAGTTGAATTATCTGGCTAATTGAGTCAGAGCGTCCAGATTAAGGTGAGGCCTGACCTGACCACTTGTCTTGTTTATCCAAACCTGAGTTCGACGTGCCTGTGGAGCTGACCGTTAGAGTCTGGTCTCAGCTGACAGATATGGCCTGATAGGCTGGGCTCACACTTCATGTCACCCTCACTCCACCTCCACATCCGCACACCTCGTAGAGCCACTCCCCCATGTGGCTTCAGGCTTGGACTTGCCGGCCGGTCTACGTTCTGATTTCGACACATGAGGCCAGGTACCCCAGTAAATTGACGGAAATGCGGGGAAACTTGTAGGCCACATCTTCGACTCAGGCCCTGACGGAAACTCGGCTTTCAGGTGGCTCGTCTGCCACCCTTCGGAATAGGCCTTGTCTTTGCTCCCTCTCTGATTCATTTGGCCATCCTATCTCGACAGTCTAAGTTAAGTTTAGCCTCCCTCCCCCATCCCATAAGACAAGAAAGGCAAGATTTGAGGCCAAACCATGAGAGCCTCATGATCGCAGTTTTTACCCAAGTGATCCGCCTTTTGTCAAAACTATGATTCTCATCACTTCCTGTTACACATTTCTACATCCAGTCCAATAAACTCTGGTTAGGTTTCTTTCAAATGCAAATAAAGAATAATATCCCAGCCAGTGGCCTGTGCTATAGACTACGGATACAACAATTGCTAATAGGCCATACAAAAAGAATTCATATCCAATAGCCTTACCTGCCTTCCTAAATGTATTTTACGACCAAGCTAAACCAAATCTGACCACATTACGTACAAATTCAAGTGAACTCTGAAAACATTATGCTCTATAACAGATTATAACAAGGGAAATAGGAAGAAACTCTTGTTGATTCACCTGAATATCCTCGTTTTTAAATAAAGTTTAAAGAATAACAGCATATCTTGAATACGATCTGTATTAATCATATTTCGTTTAAGGTGATGCAAAATTGATAGTTGAATTTTCCCTCTATTGTATGAGGAGGCCTAAATTTTTAATTGAATTCAACAATGTCTTGCTTACCATAAGGTATTCTCATCCAAAGTGGATTACAATTTTAACCCAAGGGCACTCGTGACATAATGGAAGGCACCGTATTATCACAACTCATGTTCGAGTCCCACTGAAGATGCTGATATTATCAAATTTAGGTCCAT